TGGAAACAAGGGCCCTCCACTCAGGTGGCACCAACCTCTCTAGCATGTCAGAGGTTGAAGAGGCCTTAGGAATATCTTATCGGCTCCCTGATATCATGGTCAAGAAAACAGAGGCAAAAAAAAAAAAACAAACCACCAAACAACAACACTTCTTACCTCTGCCTTAAGCTCCATTCCTATGCTCCCTCCTCTTATGCTCACAACAGTCAAGTTATAAAGGCATTCTTAGATCCAATTTACACACACATGTGTGTAATTTTTTTTTTAAGTGACTCAGAGTTTAGTGGCAAAACTGAGTAAGTGGCAAAGTACCAGCATCTGAACTCCGACTTGTCCACCTTGCACATCCAACCCCTTTGCATTCTACCCTCGTTTCCTGGGTCACAGAACTACCGACTGCTGGGAGCCCTGGGACTAAAACAAAATAGCATAGAATCAGGGGTAAAATGTGTAACTGGTGGTTCCCACGTGTGGCTGATTCATTAGAATCATCTGAGATGCTTCATAAAAACATAGACCAACCTACCCCCTTTCAGATTTCTAACTGTGTAGCTCTGAGAGGAGGCCTTGAAATTAGTATTTTTACCTACTTCTAGTGATTCTGATCATCAGTCCACCCGACTATTTACAGAAAGATAAAAAACAATGGCTGGCTAGTTCATGTAAAGTTATGTGGAGCTCGGACTTGAATCAATAGAATTTAAAAGCAAAAACAGTGAAGAGGTCATGTCCCAGGGCCATTCACGACAGTGAGACCAGCAGGCCACAGACCAGAAACAGGACCGAGAGTGATCACGGGGCTACAAGCCGGAAGGAACAATGTTACGGAGCATCTTATAAATCTGGCAGAGACATTTATACTCAGTTCCATGATAACAAGAAAACACAGCATTTATGGGGCATGGGCAATACTATCAAAGTGATACGAGATAAATCAAAGAGCAGATGAGCATCGGAACCAGGAAGGGTGACTGCAAGGCTATGGGTAAGGAGACACGAGCTGGCAAGGCCCCAAGGGAGAAGAAACCGAAGGGGAAAATTTTCTGGATCGCTAGAATGAGAGCTCCCAAAAGACAGAGGAATTTGCTCACTGCTCTATCCTGAGCGCTTTGGAGGGGCTGAATAAATATTTGTGGAAGGAACAACATGTAGGTGGGTTTAGAGACCAAATGGATGTGGAAGTCAACAAAGACACATGGGTCAAGGACATCTTCAAGATTCTAATCCAAAAGACTACAATTAAGAGATGATACGGGCACAGATGGCTAAAAGGTTAAATAAGAGTAGCTGTTTTCAGCAAAGGCTCTTCTTCATTATGTCTTGTTCTTCTTTACAACTTTATTTTGGCTTTTGGTCCGTGAAAGAATTCGGTGATTCCGAGATGTTGTAATAAACTGTTGACAATGGCATGAATGGCAAGTCTTCTGTTTTGGGAAGAAGAAAACGATGGGCGAGATCTTTTAGTGTCTTTTAGGAAAAGGAGGAGGGCCAATCTCATGAGAATCTAAACTCAGATAACATTCCTCATATGACCTGTTGGATCACTGCCCGCTGACGCGCCTATAGCACAGTGGCTTGACCCGTGTGCCTATAAACCTTAATGACAAAGGTGGCCAAGCTCTACGTGGCTGGGTCAGCCTCAGGGGCCTTGCCAACTTGAGAAGAGCCCGGGACAGGTATAGCTGGCCAGTCAGGTCACTGGGGGACTCTGGAGACTTCAGACTGAGTCCTACCTGGGGGAAAAAACTAAACGATCCATTGAATCTTTTCCAAACTAATGATTATTCAATGCACCATTTGAGTATCATGTTACCCAGGTTTTCAAAAGGTGAGCACCATCAAAACTTGAGGTACCAGGTTCCAGAAGTAAGGGTTGGAGGGCATACTCAAATTCCTTCTACGGCCCCCATCTTCTGCAAGTCTGATCTTGTAAGATCTTTCCTTTTTAAATGACATCTCGCTACTGCTAATATGCAACCAAGAGAGAAAGAGCCCTTGTTTCTATAAAATTCCCTAGGAAAAGTAATTTGTTTCATTACTCAAACAGCCAACATATATATTTTTAAAGAACTGCAAAAGTTTATATGGTTCCAATTTTATTTTTCCTTCTAATGCAAACTTTTCAAAGCCCGCCTTTCATAATACACTGAGAGGTAGGTAATGCATGGGTCCAAATGACTTGACAGTTTCTTTTAATTTACATACATCTAAGCATATGTATAAAATTCCACTAGTTCAAAACGCTTCCGTTTTAAAAACATATTTCCAGTTCAAATTATGCATTTATAACAGTCTGCGATATATGACTTCTAAAGCTAAACAGTCATGTAAAAACCGGATAGAGAAACAGCAGCATATCACTACCGCCACACTCAGTCAGTCTTTCCCCTTGCACAGCGTTCCGTTCCGCAGTGAAAAGTCCTAACCTGCTGGTGGAAAGTATGAATGCATCACCCCAGAGCGGCTGTCCCTGCTGTTCCCAGCGCCTGTAAAGGAAGGGCCACCAGTTCCTTTTCACAGACAGCTTTGAGCCCTGGTTCCTTAGAATCCATTTTTTTTTTTTTTTACCCTTAAGCTTAGTTTAACGTAAAGAATTCCCTCACCGCAGACCTTTTTCCTTTCTTCTGAGCGCAGTGGCTCAGAAGATCACCACTTTTAACTCCCAGGAAACAGCAGCAGTTTTCAATGTAAAATGTGAGATGCTGGAAATAAAGTGCTACCGTGACTAAGTGTTTAAAAATTAAATCTGTCAACTTTGTATACATTTATGTTGCTGTACAGGAAACAAACATAGACTGGGAAGTAAGGTATGTGGACTATTAGCCATCCTGGGCTTTGCAACAGCTTCTATTGAAAACAACTGACTCACTGCCTAACAAAGACTCTTTGCTAGAGTCTCCAAGTTGACATTTTAAAAATATCTAATCCCTCTTTTGGATGATATTCCAATTACTGAAAACAGTTATCTACCACAGTGAAGCAGCTCATTTGGAAAGCATCCAATTCTGGTTAGACATCAGAAATACTCAAACCTCAAAACGACTTTGGGAAAAAGGTGCCGCGAGGGAGCACAGGTATAGTTCAGCCAAAAAGCGACCCAAAGGAACACTGCCCGATTTAGGTAAAAACCCAGAGAGGCAGAAAATAGAGACACTCTTTTTCTAGAATCCCCAAAGAGTAACATTTCCTGGTAAACCCTGAACAAGTCTCAGGGGGAAAAGAAAGGACCTCCTTAAGCCTGAACAGCTTTTTAGGCAGGCTTCTCTTGAAAACCTTTAGATGGAGTCCTCCCTTTGCCCTGTTTTGCAACAAGATGAGCACTATTTTTTTTTCCTGAAATAAACAGAGAATCTCTCCCCTTTTGTGTACAAGGAGCCAAAGTTCATAACTGGCTGGGAGACTACCAATCCCAGTGGATTAAAGAGCATTTGCCAAAGAAAAATAATAGTGATAAGGTTTGGAGTTCTATTTTATAGCCTGAGCAGCCAAATACTCAACTATTCTGCACAGTGTACAATTCTACAAGCTCTCCAATCTCCAGTAACCTATGGGGATCTGCCAACCCACACAGAGGCTCCCACACGGATGAAAAATGTCCATCTGCTGCTCCGCGCCAAGGAGGTTTCCCAATCCTAAATTGCCTCAACTCAAAAAAGAAGGGGGAAGTCCAGAGAGGAGGGGAAAAAACTCAGAACACCACCCCTTGAAATGACATTATTTGTCTTGGAAGAGCCATTTCAGTTCATTAGAAAGGGACAAGGTATTAGGTGGCAAAAGGAGAAGATAATAGGAACGAGAAGGAACAGAAACGGCTGCACTTCCTGACCGAGACCCCAGGCAGCACTGAGGATGCAGACGTAATCGGGGGGTGCTTGGGCTTCCACCTAGCCCAGCAAAGCTCAGGGCGCCCAGGTAGGGGCCGCCACGGACCGGGGAAGCTCTGGAAACAGTTCCCATTAGAGGGCGCTCTTTGGGCGACGTACGGAAACAAGCTCCAGGCACCGAAACCCACCCAAAGGAGAAACCAAGTTCCCTCTGCCGGAAACCGAGTGCTCGCAACCTGCGGTGGTTAGAAGAAAGTCCTCCGGGCTGTGAGCGCACCCCCGCCAGGGCCAGCGATGGAAAGCGTGGCGGGCTGGCAGTCTCGCTCCCCGAGCTGCCAGGCTACCCGAGGCCGTGCGGTGTCACAGGCACCCCGCTTCGCCCTGCACCTCGCACTCCAGCGCAATCAGTATTAAAATGTCCTCCTGCCGCTAAAGGCCCGCGGGCTGCCCTCGGTCCTTCAAGAAGGAAGGGGACGCCGCAGGACCGGGATTCCAGCTGCTGGCGCCCCAGCATTTCCCGACCGTTTCTCTAACACCCGCGGGAACGGGGACTGCGCCTCCATGGGTAGCATTTCCACATAAGTGTCTGCTCCCTCGCCCCAACCACAGGGAACGTCAGACAAAAGAACTTTCGCAAACTTTCCTCTCCCAATACTCGCGGCTTTCTTAAATCAGGGTCACTTCTCCCTAGAGCTTGCATTCAATCGAGTAGGAAAGCTGGCGTGGGGAGATGCTGTGCAGAGGAAGGGACCTCAAAGTTTCCTGCTTGCCCCTGGATCTCAGGGAGCCTGCGGAGGGGACCCGTTCCTTTGCAAACCTTCTCCAGGTTCCCGTCTCCCGCCACCCTTTCCCCCTCGGTCCTTCCCGGGCAACGCAGCAAGACTCTCAGAGGAAATCGGTAGTGACTTCGGGGGCCTCTGCGGTTTGACAAAACTGCGATTCTCGCGCCCTCATCCCCAGGGACCTCGGGGCCACTCCAGCGAGCGGCGCTTTTCAGTGGGGAGGGAAAGCGAAAAGGGGTGGAGGAGCGAGCGCGTTTGTTCCTGCAGCTCCCTGGGGGTGTGGGAGGTGAGAACCCCCAAGTGGCGCTCCCTGATTCCTGCTGGCGCTGCGGACTCCGCTCGGCCTCCAACACCCCTAAACGGCGCGCGCGCGATCCCCTCCTGGCCCACTCACCGACTCCGCGGACACGCAGGCCACCAAGCCCAAGGTGAGCAGAATCCAAGCGCGCTGCATATTCCCCGAGGACCGGCTGGGAGCCGCCGCTTGCAACGAGGGCGAAACGAAGCCCCTTGCCCAGCACCAGGCGCAGCCCGCGCAGAGGGATCCGGAGCAGGAGGCTCCGGCTCGAGGCTCGGGGGCGCTCGCTGCCTCCTCCTGCGCCTGCTCCCAGGTCTCCGGCTGCGCCCCGGGAACGCGGTTCCTTCTCACTTGTTGGTTTCTGCACTCCAGACGCCGAGTTGTTGCTCGGGGGAATCTGCTCTCCAGAGCCCTTTCTAGCTCTGCTGTTATTTCACTCCTCCGCGGACTCCTTCCCCGCGCCGCGGCTCAGCTTCTTTTCCTGAGGAATAAATTAGATGGCTTGGAATGTAGCTGCAGCTGAAGTTTGGGGGCAGAGGAGTGGGGGTGCGCTCCGTGCGGCTGGAGCTCCCAGAGTATCTGGAGAGAAGCGCGGCGCAGGGCGGCTGGTGGCTCCGCGGCTGCGCCCCTCCTCTCTCCGCGCCACCGCCTCCCTCCCGGGGTCCTCCTCCTCCTCTCCTCCTCCTCCTGTCCTCTCCTGCTGCTCCCTCCCTCTCTCCCTACAGAGCTGGCTGCTCCGGGCGCCTCCGGGCGTCTCGGGCAGAGGAGGCGGCAATGTGACTCCTAGCTAAACCCGAGAGAAATTCCTACGGGATTACGCCGGGATTGGCAGGCCCGGGGACCAGTGGGCGCGGGCGGCTCGGCGTTTGGGGGGCTCTGGATCGGTCTTGTGCTCATTCAAGACTCCGGTGCGCCTTCATCTCCTCGCTCTCTTTTCCTCTTCTCTTCCCGCTTTTCCTCTCTCCTCTCCGTGCTCTTTTCTCCATACTCTTTTCTGATCTATTTTGTTTTCTCGTCACTTTCATTTTTCTGAAGAAAGATCGGTGAAGCAACGAGAGACATATTTAGCTTTTCTGCCTGCGAGAATTAGACCAGTAGGGGGAAAAAAAAACTGCTTTGAGAGTTGGAAAAACGCATACACAAAGTTTACAGATGCCTTTAAGCAGTGTGAAGTGTTTATAAATCTCCAATTCACGAAAGCTGTATTTTAAAAGACAATACAGATTTTAAAAAAAAAAACCCACAAAAACGTGTACTAAGAGTATTTCCCACCCCAGACTCCCACCCCCACCCCGCCAAAAAAAAAAAAAAAAAAAGCGGAGGAAGACTCCTATAAACCTAAAATGCAACACTTTCGAAGCTCATAATTTCATTAAGGGCTTAAATACCATTTCTGCCTCACACGCAGTTTAAGCCCCCAAGGCGTTTTATAGGCTTCATTTCAGCACAGAGGTGTTAACATTTGGAAGCTACAAATGGGATAGTTTGGTGAAAAAATTGGATGGAGACCCCGAATAATAACAGATTTAAGAGAACTTCAAAGAAAAGAGGGATAAAGTAATTTCTAGTTTGAAGAAAATAATGAGCATGTATTTCCCAAATGAAAGTAATTGATCTGAAATATTTTAATTTTTTTTTTAATTCCATGTCTAGGGTATACTACAGAACATGGCAAATGCCTGTCCCCTTCCCGTTTCTAACACTATTTTTCTCTCTGACTTATGGAGTAAATGAATTATGAAGTGATTCTGCTTCTGGGATGCCATCTCCAGGAGACCAGGGACCTTTCAGTCTTTTCCCCCACCGTTTTCTCATTCTTGGTACAAAAGATACACAATAAATATTTATTGAATAAATTTTGTTCTAAAACTCAATCTAGCACTGTCCTAGTGGTTTGGTTGGAGCATCCTCTGGAACAGCAAAATGTTGCAGGTTTGATCCCCTTTGGGGGCACATACAGGAGGCAACCTATTGATGTTTCTCTCTCTTTTTCTCTCTCTGAAATCAATAGACATATCCTCCAGTGAGGATTGAAACTCAATCTATACTGCATAACAGTTGCAACTGTAATATACAAAGAGGTAGCTATATAGATACTAGGCTACAATAATTTTGGAACTTAGAATAAAATACAGTCATACTCTAAGTGAGAATTACAACGTCTTAGTAACATTCCACTGTAATGAATCTAAAAGAAAGAAATTTAGAGAACTGGAGAGTTACAACTCGAAGTTGGAGACATCCAGCTCTTGGCTTTTGAGTGCTCACTACCAAGCTCCCCATGGGCAAATTTAAGGTATTGCCAGCCAAAAGGGTAATATGGAGAAGTGACGAGTGAGCAAAGAGGAAAGAAGAGAAGAAAAGATCAGGGCACTGGAAGTTGGAACATTAGATGCTTCTGATTCCACAAAAATTGAAGTAGCACCTGTGAATCAATGTGGTGGTCCAGGTTGGTTTTTGAAAGAATGCACTATGACTATATTTTTAATAAGTAGTGTTCGTGGGTTGAAGAATTTCATAAAGAGAGACTTCTGAAAGGTTCTAAAAAAATATTAGAGAAATACAAAGAGGTATAAAATATTACCTCTATCCCCCAAAGAGACCTAGGCTGCCCCTCAGCCTTCAAGCAAGATCATACACCCATTCTCTCCCAACAGTTAGAGCCCATCAAATACATTAGAATTCCAATAAAAGGGGGAAATGCACTCATTCACTGGGTCTCACAGTTATTGCTGCTTTTTGGGGCATCCCACCTAACATGAAGCATGGTCGTTTCTCTGTGCTGGCCAAAGATTGATAACATTGAATAAGCAGGTGCATCTATTGAAGGAATATATCTGTCCATGCGCCCTGAAGACACATCCCAAGGCTCTTGACGTTTATGAGACTCTCGGTGATTTGTTTTTTATAAATGATCACGCAGCATTGAGAGTATATGTAATATAAGGAGACGGTACTGTTTTGACAGTTAAACATATCAGGTATATGATAAGTAAATATTCAAGGTCTTGTGTTCAACTGTATTAAAAGATGTGTCCAAAAGGATAATCTGATCATATAAAGTCACTAATACTGAAAACACTTACATTAAGAACTGGATACGAAAAAAGTTACCTATGCCAAGTGGGATGGAGGTGTTAGGAACTAGCCTAAATGTCGGAAATGACAAAGCCCTTTGTCTAAGTCCTTTTGGACTGCCACAAGAAAAATATCATAGACTGGGTAGTTTATAAACAGAAAAAACTTATTTCTCACCGTTCTATAGTCTGAGAAGCTCAAGATCAAGTAAGATTCTGTGTCTGATGAGAGCCTACTTCCTGGTTCATGGATGGCTGTCTTTTCTCTGTGTCTTCACATGGCAGAAGTGGGGAGGGAGTTCTCTGGAGCCTCTTTTATAAGTTCACTAATTCCATCCACGAGGTCTAAGCTCTGCTAAAAAAGAGACAACAGCTCCAAAATGGAGTCACTTGTGCTAAACTCCATATGAACAAACCAAGACTTAATATCTAACATAACAGGAATTTCAGCCTCTTCCAGGAATGTAATCTTAAATTAAGTCTGAAATTTTCTGGTGAGCACTACTGAAGTCATCTACCTGACAGACTCCTTTCATCCCCTAAAGGAAGGCGACATTGCCTGAAACAATCCATTCTTTTCTTCCTTCTGTCTGTAGAAGCCTCCCATTTTGTCCAGATCCTGGAAGTTTCTTTCTATCTACTAGATGAATCACTGAATAAAGCTAATAGGATCTTCTAAATTACTCAGCTGAATTTTGTTTTTTCAACAGATTTGGAGGGAACAATAAAATCCAAAGCAAATTTCTGAGCTTCTGGGACAAGGAGAAACACAGGTGTGGCTCTCTGCAAATACTTAGAGTTCACACTCTTTCTCGCCGTCTCTGAAGCTATGGGGAAGTTCCTCTCAGGTCTGAGCTCTGCTCTCTTTGCATCAAGTTCCCAGTCTAATTGGTTTTCCAGTTAGTTCCCTATTTGATTGGAAATCCCAGCCCTTGATTCTGTCCTCAGATTCCATGCTAGGAACTGCTGGTGCTTCAGTACTCAATTCCCTGTTGCGTGGAACCCCGGTTCATAGTCCTCATTTTTGGGCTCTGCTGGTTCAGCCATCTCTTCAGTCCTCGGATTCCACATTGGAAGCTGCTGGTGGCTACTCGTAGGAGTTGGACTAGGTTTGACTTAAAAATCGGACTGGGTCTGGAATTGGACTAGGGCCCATTTAAGCTGGACTGGATCCAGTTAGCAAAAGCTATTGCTAATGGGAATCTCAGAAGACACACACACACTCCACAAAATTGATGGGCATGAGTCAAGCACTTAAAAGCTGTCAGAGTGCTCATCACCTAACTCTGAGGCTCCCACATTAGGATAAGTTGGTCATGGGATGTGGTTCAGTTGACTCTAGGTCACCCACCAACCTCAAGAAAATTTTTAGGCAATGAGATACATTGTAAAACAGTATACAACCCCCAAGCTAGAGGCACATCTCTTTCAGGTATTAGTTTGACTCTAAGAGACCCAAACGCTTAGCTAAAAGAAATATTACAGGATCCTTAAATTCCAAAAAGTGTGCCACCTTCCAGCATATGTTCTCATTTCATATCTAAAACTATGGTCCCAGAAGCTATGAATATCAACAAAAATGGCAAAAATCTTAATAAAAACAATGCAGAATTACAACAGCCAATATAGGGAATGTTCCAATTAAACAATTCATTTAGAAAGTTCACTTAAAGTTAAGGTTTCCAAGTCAAAGAATGGGAAACCTATTTTAATTGGTATGCAGAAGCTGAAAAAGGCTTCAAGATTTCAAAATAGCTTCATTAAAAGATTTTTTTGTAGGAGGCTAATGAAAAGTTAAAGACAAAAGAGGTTCTTAAAACAAAAGACAATAAGACTGTTGTGGCTCACACTGCTCCCCTCTATTCTTCTCCACCTAAGTACTCATGTTTTACTACGTCTGTGTGAACTACCTTTCCACTCTGAAGAAGCTTTTACATAATTACCTTTCAAAATGAAACTACCCCAGATTGCAGACATTCCTCCTCAGATATCTTTCCTTTCTTGATAAAAGACCAAACTAAGGGCCATAGTTGAAGAATTTCCTAAACCCAGGGAAAATTTGCAGTTGTCTGAAGAACTTAAGAGTCATTGTCAAGGTCTATGACACTGAGCTGCCAGATCTTGACTGGCTTGTTGTGCACATGCTGGTAGGAACTGGTGAAGCCCAAAGCACATGAGGGATGCAAAATGGCAAAACCCCAAGGATGATATTCAAGGTGTTTGAACTTCAACATGGTTCCCCCATGGACAAGAAAAAGCTCACAAGATAGCAACTAAGTTTTGCAAGCCATTCCTAGAGTTTTCCCTGGCCACACTGATCGGTCTATTATTCAAACATGCAAACAGAAGAAAGATGAATCTGTAACAGAACTTAAAGCTCTCTTCCAGATTCCATACAATGAATAAATGAGGTCATGCAACCTGCTGAGCAGCTCTATTTTGGACATGGATTATCTCCTAAGATTTTAACAAAATTCCTCCAACCTACCAGCCATACAACTACAACAGTTCCAAGGCCAGAGCTCTAAAATAACAGGGGCCTCTCACATTATACCCTCCTGGGAGTATATTTTCAAACACA